TGAACTAATGTGGGGGGTGGGCAATGCTGGTGGGGGTAATGCAGGGTAGAGGGGAATAAAGGGAAGGAAAAAAATGTGACAACTGTAATAGCATAACCAACAAAATATACTTAAAAGTAAATAAATGCAAAATAAATACAAAATTTAAAAAAGGAAAGTAAATAAAGAATATGAATATAATGGCAATAAATTCATATCCACCAACAATTACTTTAAATGCAAATGTATTAAATGCTCCAATCAAAAGACATATAGAGGCTGAATGGATAACAAAAACAAGACTCTTACAATACTCACTTCACATTGAAAGACACACAGAAACTAAAAGAGATGGAAAAAGATATTTCATGAAAAGGAAAACAGATAAAGAAAAAGCTAGGGTAATAATATTTATATGAAACAAAAGTAAGACTTTAAAACAAAGGCTATATAAACAAGAGGCAAAGACAGTATTTATCTGAAGACACTTAAAACCCTAAACTGAAAAGACGTATACATCTATATGTTCATTGCAGCACTATTTACAATAGCCAAGATATGGAAACAACCTAAGTGTCCATCAATAGATGAATGGATAAAGAAGAGGTGCACATATACAATGAATATGACTAGCCATAAAAAAGAATGAAAGCTTGCCATCTGCAATGACATTTATGGACCTAGAAGGTATTGTGCTGAGTGAAATAAGTCAGACAGGGGAAGACAAAAATGCCATGATTTCACTTATATGTGGAATCTAAAAAAACAAAATAAACAAACAAGTAGACCAGAAACAGACTCATAAATACAGAGAACATTTTGACAGTTGCCAGTTAAAAGAGGGGTTGGGAGGATGAATGAAAAAGGTAAAGGGATTAAGAAGTACAAATCTGTAGTTACAGAATAGTCACAGGGAGGTAAAGTACAGCGTAGTGAATACAGTCAATAATATTATACAAACTATGTATCCCATGGGTACTAGATTTATCGAGGTGATTACTTCCTAAGTTAAATGATAAATATCTAATAATTGGGTTGTACACCTAAAACTAATTTAATATTGTAGTCATCTGCAACTGAAAATAAAAAATTAGAAAAAATATTTTAAAAGAAGAAAATTTTAAAGTAAAAATAAAAGAGTAAAGCCTTTCTTTTCCTCATTCAGTTAGCATTGCTAAAAAAGCACAACTCTCCTGAAACATTATCATATCACCCCCTGCTGTGCCATACAAAGCAGAAAGCCCACTTAAATATCCTTTCCCTACTCAAACAAAAGTAGTTTTGCTAAGTGCAAAACTGTTCCTTAAGTAATTGCTAAATGCAATTTTTGTTCCTTAAGTAATCTGCTGCTGCATTAGATCCAGTGCACTGCTATGAAAGGGGAAGTTGTGGGATGCTACAAAAATATCTAACAGATCAACCCCTGCCTTGGGACAGTTGTGAAGGCACCGTCTAAGGAAGTGAGACTTCAGGGAATGAGTAGGAGGCAGTTAAGCAAAAGGGGAAAGGAAAGGGGCAAAAGTTGTACTAATGCAAAGAGAATTACATTTATAACAGCCCAACAGAAAAACAAACATGCACGTTTAAAAGAACAGAACCTAATAGAAAAAAGGAGAAAGTCATATGGGGAGGTGGGACATGTGGCATTACGAGCAATGGAAATCACCAAAGGTTTTAAGTAGAAAAGTCACATAATCATGCTTCATTTTAGCTACCTTTCCCCACACCATCTCATTAAGTTGGGTTTCTTAAAATAGCAGTGTACATTTGCTCATTAGTACTTCTTCCCACCTTGTCTTTTCAATGCCTGGCATCTGCTGATATCCTAGTCATTAATTCAATGGGCCCTTTCAGTTTTGACTTTAGTTGTCCCATTTGCTAAGGGTCAGAATGTGGCCAGCATGTGGCCCTGCTGACCATCACCTCCCTCCATACCGTTTTCTCCCCATTTCTATGGCTATTTCTCTCTTTTTTTGCAAGCAACTTTTTCTCTACGTAGACTGTGCCCTTAAATGTTGTCTGTCAAGATTTTGTCCTTGACCTTCAGCATTTACAAACTCCCCATATTTTCCCTAGGTAAACTCACCCACATCTAGGACCTCAAAGATCACCTTTGTGCTCACAAATTCCAAAATCATATTTTTGCTGACTCTCCTGAACTCCAAATTTATATATTAAACTATTTGCACTTCCATGTCTTATAGGTACTTTGAGTTGAACAGTTTCAAAATCAAATACGTCTATTCCCTTACCATTTCAAATCTTTCTCTCTTCTTCATTCCTACTACCACTGCCTTAGTTCAGGAGCTCAACATTTATCTCCAGGTTTACTCCAACAGACTACTACTTCCCTGTGCTACCTGCCTACACTTAGCCCACGTTCAACTCACTGGTAGAATGACCTGGCATATAAGTAAATATAATATGAACACGGTATTTCCAGGCTTAAAATTTCTCAGTGACACTTATCAACTAGCTCAAATTCCTTACTCTGATTTACAAGAGCTTCTTAGGCTCTTACTCTTGAGAACCTCAAATTCACACCACACTCGTCAATCTAAATTGTTGGAGGTTCTCTTAACATGCTATGCTCTGTGCCTTTGAACACCTTTCTTCCTTTCCTGGAACACTAATTCCCTCCCCCTCTTTTCTTCACTTGGTCAACTTATCCTTCAAGACTTATGTAAGGCCCTCCCTCCTCCAGGAAGCTTCACCAGAACTACCACTGGACCCTTTTGGGGGATATATAGCACCCTGTGTGCTTAACACTAGCTTTTGTATTTATTACTTTTACATTTTTGTCTGCTTACCTATTTAATACTCCCTACTAGGCTGTATCCTTATGAGCAGGGACTCAGCCTAACACTGACTCATAACGGACATGCTATAAATGAATGAATGAAAATACAGAATTGCAATGAGGATCTCAAGAACGGGAACTCAGCCACGGGCATTCTCTGCTGAATCTATAAATCCCAGACCAAGGGCTGGAATGCTACTGGTACTCAGCACATATTGGTAGAAAGGCTATAGATATTCTACAGTCAAAGGAAAACACTAAACTCTTTCTAGTCTTGCTTTGCATTGCCAACTTTCTCAGTTTAAAATCTACTTTTACTGTAACACCAGTGTGTGTTGAATGATTTCTCCTGACCAAACTAATACTGTTGTTCCTCCATTAGGAAAAAATAATGAGTACTGACCAATCCAATAAACGAAAGGACACTTACGCAGGAATCCATGGAAGGGTTTCCTGATCTCCTTGAAATTAAATGTGAAATTTTCAGTGGATACAAGCACATTTTCCTGATCAGAAAGATTACAATTTTCAAGGAATATCTATATTTATGTCTGTCTGTCTATATCGAACTGCTTAACCAAAATGTTAAGCTGAACTAATTTGTAGCATTCACTTTTCTCTTCTCAAATCTGTATTTTAATTCATGACTCGCAACTTGGGAGTGAGCAGCCTCTGCTAAAACAAATGTAACTGGAAAAGATATAGCTGAAAGGCTCTCACTAGATTCCTACTAGAATTTGCATTTAAAATTTTCTACATTTGGGAAAGTCTTTACCAGCATTCTTTGAAGTTATTGCCCTATCCTAACGTACTCTGTACCCATATGAATCAGGATGTTTATAATACTTCAGCTATTGGGCTGAAGAAGAAAATGTTACATTATGAACATAATGACAAAGAAAACACTTTTTTTTTTTTTACCATCATCTAGTTAAATGGAATGGGAAAAAACCCAGGACTATCAAGATTTACAGGAAAGACTTTTTTCTTCTTTTCTTTTACTGTACACAGAGTGAACCGCCAGCAGGAACAGCATTTAACTCACAACCACTTAATTCAATCTTGGGAATAATATGCTAATAACTAAAGAGTAGAGAACAGACAATTAAGTCATTTTTAAAAAGAAAAAATCAAGTCCCATTTGAATTAAAAGTTCTCTAGTTAAAGAAGAGCTAAAGAAGCTAGTCCCTAGACTTCAACTATTTGAATCCACTTCCATGACTTCGAGAACAGGCACGGTTATTATATTTCGTTTCTCTTATTAAAGAGATCAGCACAGTGGGGGCCTACGGGGTGGGGGACAGACAGCAAGCACCTTCTGAAGTGATGGAAAGGTTATTTTGATTTGAATGGTGTTTGCACAAGAGTACGTTTATTAAACTCACTTAACTACATACATAAAACGTGTATTTAACCGTTATGGAAAGTGCCTCAGTAAAGGAATCTGAAAAGAGAAAGATATCTTTGCTATTTAATTATTACGACCAAAGCCTATTTTTGTTCCTGGAACTTCTGTGGAGGACGACCCACAGCTGATGCATTGGCCTCGCTGAGAAAATGAACATTACTGATCGCTAGGATCTCTCGCCACCATTCCGGTTTAGGCACTATCATTTCGAGTCAAAGGTAACATCCACACAACGGCGGCAAGAGTCCGCAGCACTTTCAAAAATGGGTGCCACGGCCCGCCTTTGCCGTCGTGGGGAGGGGGGGGCAAAAGGTGTCCGCGAACAGAACCCTGTATAGGGAAGGGCAAACAACCGCGAGGTCCAACCCGAACCAGCTGCTTCTCCCAGCTACGAGCTCCCCAAGACTGGCTGCCCGCCCCCGCGCAGCACCTAGGAGTGACGCAGGTCTCACACGTCCCTCGCCCAACTCCAACTACCAGCAGCACTTCGGCCCACACAGATCCCCACCCAACGGGGAGCCGGAAAAAACACACCCACGCCCGCCACAAGAGGTCGCTTTAGCGCCGCCGCCTTCTAGAACACATTCTGCGCTTGCGTTTACACTGGACAGCACCCCTCATTTACTCTTTTCTTCATAAGGGACCAGAGACTCCCTCAGCGCAGGCGCAGCCATGACGTAGCTTGCGCGGGGCCACTTCCGCCCTCAGCGGGCCGCGGGGGAGGCGGGAGGGAGCCAGCGGGAGGGAGCCAGCGGGCGCGAGCCTTGGTCCATAAAGGACTACAGCCGCTGCTGCGCGAAACCATCGACTCACCAAGTAGAGCTGCTGCCAACGATTTTGAACATCCAATTCCTCAAACTCCCGCTCGATGGTGGCAGACATGGCCGCTGAAGCGAGCTAGCGCGAACGGAGCCTATGCGGGTGGAGAGGCTCGGGCCCCCTCACGATAGAGTGCTGGCGCTGTGGCGCATGCGCACTCCGCGCCCCGCCCCGCCCCCCACGTAAGCCCGAGCCGCTGCTGGGGAAAGTACCTGGAACGTCCGACGTCAGCGCGTCGACCGGCGTGCCTCTGGGTCGTCCGGCGGGGTGGGGCGGGGCTCTCGGCCGCACGGGGAGGCGTGGTCCAGAGGGGGCCCAGGTGGACAGGGGTGGGGCCTGGGGACTACCCAGAGACCCGGGTCAGGGTCTTTGGACAGAAAGGCGCCCCTACCCCTAGACTTGCGAGGAATGCCCCAGGAAGGAGGTGTTGTAGCACGAGGTTCACGTGAATGCTGCAGGGCAAGAAAGTTCTGTAAGGCCTCTTCTAGCTTTCCCGTTACTTTTTTAAAAACATCATCTAGGTCAGATAAGCGGGGAAGGGAAGAAACTACTCAGCCTTCTGGGAGAATGTTAACCAGACGTGATGCCAGGGAGATTTGTGACAAATCACTGTAGCACAAGGAGAGTCCACCTGTGCAAGAGTTAGGGAGAATACAGATTGTTTGTTACACAATTTAAAAGTCAGTCTTACGGGTTGGCAAACTCGTGTGTGTATGATATTTTATTATAATACCTCCATAAAAATATGAAACGTTTGTTACAAAATTAAGCTAAGTAAGTTTGAAGATATAAATTGGCTTTAATCAAGAGAAAATAAGTTAGTTACCGGAAAGGTGCCAGATGGGAGGGGGAAATGGGTTATTAAGTACAAATAGCCATGGAGATGTAAAGTACAATATAGGATATTGAGTAGCCAAAGAACTTATAGGCATGACCCATGGATGTGAACAATGGTGGGGGTTGCCTGAGGGATTAGGAGACATTGGGTGGAGAGGGCAAAAGGAGGGAAATAAGGACAACTATAATAGAATAAAAATTAAAATATAATTTAAAAAATAAATTGGCTTTGTTAATGAATTGGGCATCATCTCATCTAGTAAGTAGAAGGGTCGTCTTAGGGCTTGTACAAACTGGAGGGCTTTTTTTAGAAAGGAAAAGTGAGGCAAGGGAGCTAATAACGAAACGATTATTTTCACACTGGAACATCATTTTCTGGAGGGGTGGGGAAAGGCAAGGGTTTTTATCGTGCAGATCGCCTTTTCTTGGGGTTTGGTGGGAATGGAGAGGGACCACTTGACAAATTTCCCTCTTGATGATGATCAGAAAATTGCAGACTACTTACTTTGTTTCTGGAAGAAATCAAGAGAGCAATTGGGTCAGGTATTAAATCTGGATGCGTATCTTAGTTTTTGGCACAACTGACACCATTTTGTTGAAATTTTCTTTTAATTTTCATACAGGTCCCCTCAACCCCTCTCCCTTCAGTCAGCCACCAGTCTGTTTGCTGTATCTGTGAGTTGTTGGATTTTGTGTTAAATTTTGTTTTTTTAACAAGCCCAATGTCACACCTACTACAAGACTCATTGTTGCAGCGCTCCTTATACCTATTACAGTAATTCTCCCCACCCTTAAATAAAGTCTTACTCGCCTCATTGTCCTCAAAAGGCATCATAAATAACTTTAACAAATTAAAATTTTAGTTTATTAGTTGCTCTAGTGTGAACGGAAAAGGGATTCTGTAATAAATCTGACCTAAAGTTAACTCATAGGATTATCTGTTGGTAAAATTCTTAACTGCAGGTCATGGTGAGTAGTCATCTCCCAGGCCTATAAAATGGTTTATCTTTGCCTTAACCAAGTGCTATCCATTGTTCTTCTGCATCTAGATTAACACACTTTAAAAATGCCAGAGTAATCCTCTTTTTCAGACCCTTCACAGGTATAACTGCTGTAGGGGAGAAACAAACATTCCTATACCATCCAGCTTCTTTTGACTGGTCTAATAATCAAATAGACATGAGGTAGATTAACAAGAGAAAAATAACCAAATTTATAATACATATGTACAGGGATTGTTAGGGTGGTCAGTGACATGGGTAGGCTATGAAAGAATTCACAAAGAGAAAAACGTCCAGAGAACAGTTTTTCTTTTACTTTCCCTAGAGAGGGAAAGGGCTATGGGCTAGGTAAGTGCTCAAGGGGTGGGGGCTTTGAGCTTTTATTAGGTGATTGGGGTGGTTGTAGAGCAGGATGTTTCAGTTGGCCTTTAGTATAGGCTGCAGGAAACTAGATGTGCATCTTGATGTGCATCTTTGGGTGCGCAGTCCAGTTGCTGAGGTCTGGCATGTCCTGTTTCATGAGTTACCAGAGTTTCTTCACCTGCAGTGTTCTTCCAGTAATTTTCTAGTCCAGAGGATAAAGACTTATAAAACAATTAGGGTCAGTCATGCTTTATAGGGTCTAGCTAGCTCTGGCAAAGAGGGCCTGAAAACGGGCCTTTTGTTCTATTACAGATCCTATATACATGAGAGTCAGATACCCCACATTGATGAGAGGTTTAGAAATAGAAAGGGGAATCTAGGTATATAAGACATTCTGTGCTAGGGATGAGATAATGCATCTTGAGGGCTTCAATATGTGGTAGGCAGTTAGACATGAGTGGAGCAAGGGGGATGCCCCAGGTACAGAAAATGTCACCAAGGTGGAAAGCTCTGGGTGCCTAGCAAGAGGCAAAACTGGAAAAACAAAGACCACACTCACTGGACCTTACTTATCACTGGTCATGGGACCCCCAGACATTTTATATAGCTGGTCATTCAATTTGGATCCTCCCCTGACATTTCCTCCCTGGCATCTTTGCTAGTCATGTGGATTAAAAGCCCTTAGAGGGGAAAGGAACCAGGGGGATGAAAAACAGCACCTAACCATTAAGCTCCCAGGACAATGAGGTTCTAACCCACCACAAATACATCTAGGCCTCTGTTGTGTTTTTATTTAGCTCCAGGACCAGGAAAGCAGCAAAACCAGACTAGTAGTGCTATTACAGAACAGGGTCAAGGGGTGGGGGGTGCAATATACTATTACCAAAAGGCCCCCCCTACTTTTTGTAGGGGGTTGTCCACCTCCAGAGGAAAGACCTCTCAATGCCAGAGATTTGTGAAAAGGAAAGGAAATGTTTATTTAAAGCTATACAGACTTAAAGTAGTGACTTAATGTTTTCACTAAGATATCAAAATCCTTTAGGATACCCACAGACACACAGTCCTTCCTTCTCCCTCTGCCCTAATTTGGGGTACGATATTTCAGGAAAAGAAGTGGATTCAAGCTCCCGACACTATCAGCTGTGTCATCAGCCAGGATCAAGCCACGTGGTTCTCTGCAAAGCTGGGAGTCTCTACTCTGGCCAAAGCCACGTGGTTCTCCCGTCCGCCAAAGCTGTGGGGGTCTGCACCCTGGCAAAACCGTGTGGTTCTCCCCTTAATGGCTGCCGCATCTGGGTTTAAATCCCCATGCCAGTCTTCCTCTGCAGCTCCATTTCCAACTCCTCCCATAAGCAGCTACACTTGCCAGCACTCCCATATCCTAGCTTTACTGGGCTGCCATAGTGGGTCTAGATAGTCATGGCCCCATGGCGTGGAGCCAATCATCTCCAAGCTCTCACACAGTCGCTGAAACCAGGGGGGGTTGCTTCCCAGTTACGTCTTGGGTGGAAGTCCCATCCCCCTGGCTCAAAGCATGCTCATAGCTATTGATCATATCTATGCAACCAGTTAAAGGTTATAAATGTGTTAAATGACTATGCCAGAGGTTAGCTGCAAAGCCGTTGCTATGCAAAACAGCTCTCTGTGTTCCTGCTCCATGTGTTCCTTCCACCAACTCACACCTGTGGGGGTGGGGGACATGGACATCCTATATATCTTTCTAATACTTCTTGGACTCCTTGAGTTGTGGACCCCATTCCAAATCTCTATTTGGGGCCTCCCTCTTGGCTGCAACATGTTACAGTGCCACACCTGATCTCTGGCCCAGCTGCATTCATTAAAGACCTTCTGCCCTGGTGTTGACCAATCAGTGGAGACCATGACCCTGAAAGAACACACCTGGAAAGCTAATGAATATTCTGTGGAGATCCTCCCCTGGGATATCCTTGTCCTTAAAATCTCTTAGGACAGAAGACCCAGTGTACTCAGTAGAGCATGTCCACATCTTTCCCCACCCACTAGCTCTACCCTTCTCTCTCTTAAGCTCAAAGAGCTCCTTCTTTTGCCTCTGTAACTTGCTTCCTGAATCCATTTCCTCTACCATTCAATTCTTCTACCTCTGTGACTTTCTAAATAAACTTTCTCTTATAGTTTGAGTCTTGGCTCTGAGTTCTTTCCTAGCCAGAACTCAAGTATCAAAAGTTGCTGAACCAAGGTCCAATCTAACCCCACCAGTCAAACGCTTTGGGTGCAATTCTTGCTGCCAACAAAATGGTCATTACAGAATGATAAGACCAGACATTTAATAAATAAATTTTCCCTTCCATAGAAGTTGGTCTACTTGTTTCTCACCCATTACCTCTTATTATGGGCAAAACCCCTAATTCATGGTCTTCTAGGTAGTTAAAGGGTTGGGCAGAATTTTCACTTAAAAGTGAAGCTAAGTTGTCTTTAGCTCAAAACAACCCATACCACTGAGGGATATGTTGGCATGGCTTGTTCTGAATCCCCACACCACCCTCAAGGAATCACATAATCTTATTAACATGTAATCTTTCTTAGGCTCCCTCCATAATTTCCAATGTATAAAAGAAACTGTCATTCTTAGAGAATTGGAGACCCTGCTTTCTGGCATATTATCAGTTTGGTTTAAATAAACTCATAAAAATTCTCTATAGGTTTCGAGTTTCCTGAAGTTAACACTAGCTATATTTTAAATGCTCAATAGCCACATTGGGCTGGTGGTTAATAATATGGCAGCCCACACATTTCTATCATCAATGTTCTGTGGGACAGCATTGCCTGAAAGGATTAAAATACTTGGGGGAAAAATATCCCTCTACATATAAAATAATGAAAACACTGATCAGAAAAAAAC